TTAAGTTCTGAGCTCCTCTCCGAGTCGCTTAGTTAGACTATATACTAAGTAATGCTTAATTTAGACAGCTTTGAAGAAGAGGGGAGGAGTAGTCTAGTGTAACAGATATGGTAAGAGGGCATGGCATAATTTTTCAAGTGTGAGGGGTGACTTCTAACTTTTCTGTCCTTTTCGACTYATTTATCAACCTCCATCCCCCTCCTGATAATATTGCGCACTACCTCGCTCTGGTTATATTTACTCTCATCTTCTCCCTTCCCCGTGCACTTTCTCTACTGAGTATAGCGAAATAACTACTACTAATAAAAAAAAGCTATCATGAAACGATCCTGTTGTCAATAGATGGTGGCCAACAAACAAAAATTGCATGACTGAACACAATCAAAGATTGCTTGGATGCAGTTGGTTCATTCTTTTTTGATAAATGAGCATGCACCTTTTTCAATTAAGATGCAAATAGTGATTTTTTTTAAATAAGTGGTTATCACTGGATTCGCTTCAAATGCTTAACATTTTTTTATGAAACAAAATCGGATTTAATTCTCTTTTCAGGTGCATTCCCAGCTTGTGTCACTAAAACACAATTGAGAAATTTGTACAAAACTAAACAACATTACTCAACAACATTGCCTAAACAACATTGTCTTAGAGTAATAGCACTTAAACCGTGCAACTGTATAAAATCTAAGTAGTACTAATTTAAACTAAAGGTGGACCTGAAGAAAGACGGTATTGAATGTTTCATTTGTATSATTAATTATTCAATTTAATTTGCATCCTAATTCACTAGAAATGCGTCCTGTGTCTTTATTTTAGTTCACTAGAAATGCATTTTGTGTCTTTATTTTACAACCATTATCGTTGAAGTGCAACCCGCATGAACGATTTACTAAATATAACTAAGTAGCACTATTTAGTTTGTACAGCTACGGTTTAAGTGCTATCACTCTACTCAAGTTCATTTATTCTAGAATAACATTTTAGATATACCGATTGCTCTGACATTAAAGGACTTACAAAATTTCATCTTGTAGTAATGGATCTAGTTTTAAACTAAAATGCTCAGTCCTTTACGCACACAGAAACCCCGCATTTTATTGAGAAAACTAGTTTCGTTTTACGACCTTATTAATTCTAAAATAACGGTTTATTTTAGAATTGATAAAGGTCGTAAGACGAAACTAGCTTTYTCAATAAACTGCGGGTTTCTGTGTGCGTAAAGGACTGGGCATTTTAGTTTAAAACTAGATCCATTACTTCAAGATGAGAATAACATTTAATGCTTACAAAGCGAACAAGTACTATCCGTTAAGCGATTATTTTTTCTGGGGGAAGTTGTTTAATGAAAGCGCATTTCCCCTCTACATAGATAGATATATAGCTATTTCATAAAAGGTTGTCAAAGCGAAGAGCGAATGCACGCGACCACAAGGGTTATTATCTATTAATTCAGTTAYTGATTATTGATGCCGATATTTACTCATGAGAGGCACCAATAATGTCGTTTCCATCAAATAAAGATTTGCGATGGTGGTTTGTTTGGCTTCCAAGTGTTTTCAGGAGATAAGCGATCATTTTCAATCAAAAACTGAATACCTACATTAACTCTCGCCGTTTCGCTCTGACAACTTTTTTTACAGACAAGTGCAAGAAGTCACAACCATGTTATTAAGCTGTTCTATTTTTGGTTGACCCTTTACATAGTGAAGAATCACTAGCGGTTTGTACGAACTTGCCACGCAGCACGGCTCGCTAGGTGCGTTGGGATTGATGGAGTTGTAGAGGGCCATGATCGATGTATGATGSGTCTGATTACTTGAGCCCCATAAGAATGGGCAAGTTCCCTTGCAGTAGTTGGCATGGAACCCGAGTGGAGCGTGTATCCAGTTCCATTTGAGATCTTTTTGGAAATCGATGTACAGCGAACGCAGGCAACAACGCTTTTCCGTCGGTCTCTGGTTGCAAAATGCTAAGTCGAGAGAACGACGGTGTCGCCTTCGCCTCTCGATTGTGTATCGATTCATAGGTATGTACCAAACCAACACATAGGGTTCCCATGACAGGGTACTCGAGCTGTCATAACCRTTCTGTTCCATTCCMATYTGAATGACTTTGACAAAGGCCATAGATTTAGGTGCCATCAYTCTTTTCTTAACAGCATCAGTTACGTCGAGGTTTATATCAGCTTGTGAATCTATGAACTTGGAATCGAGGACTTGGGAGCATGTATTATGGATTGAGCTGCTAGAAAGTCGGTCTACCATACAAGCTTTAATTGTTGTTCCTTGAATGGTGGGGAAGTAGTTTGGGTCTATTCTCATTTCTGCTTTTTCAATGTGATGTTCACCATCCAGTTGAGTTGCATCAAAAGTCAAAGTATTGATGTCGACAATATGAACTCTTTTTTTGGCTGGATCTATGAAATAAAATCACAAAATTATGAGCATTTGTTAATAAAGTAATGACAGAAAACAAGTCGAATGGATGCAGCTATTTCAGAAAAAAAGTTGAATAGTCAAGATAGGGTGTTCCAAGACCGAAATGCATTAGTCGTTCTACTTAACAATTAGACCTCGAGGTCGAGTGGACTACGAGCTAATAGCCCRTGAGGCCGAGTCTGCGAGGCCGAAYGGGCTATTAGCTCGTAGTCCACGAGGCCGAGAGGTCTAATTGTTTTAGTATAAACATACTAATTGGTCAAATAATGAATACAAATTGAAATATCCTTAAAATAATTTATTAATGAGATGCCGCCATTTTGATTTTCCCGCGAGTGGTCTATCACAAATTAGAACATTAGTAGAGTAGCTAATCACAGCGCAGTATAAGTGATAGGCCATTAGTATGTTTATACTAAAATCTATTATTGTGTTACTAGAACCTCTTCTCAGCGCCCCTTCTACAATGTTATTTGTCAATATTTCGTGAAATCAACAAGGATGAAGAAAGGAATGTGTGTGCAACATTGCATTGAGGAAAGGGGGTGGKTAAGGTGTTCCCTTCAGGCGCGTAGCGTTCTTTACGCATATACGMATACGCGTACTGGTGGCAAGGAAATGTTAAAATTTTGGGGATATTTTTGATATAATTGTCTTTTACTTGCTTTCTCGCACCAAGACTACATTATTAAAAAGAACCTGAGATTCATATTCAAATAAAACTATGCCC